AATTAGGGGGGGGGCGAGCGGGGGCCAATACGTAGGACGTATCATACGTACCCCTATTTCCGCCAGTGGTATCTGTACACTCTCAGCAAAGTTGCCACCAAAATCGTCTCCTCGTGTAGGTACTATGCAACTCTACCGTAAGGTAATAATTTACCTCCATCCGTTGACAAATGTGTTTTGTCTCCCGAGCGGAGGTAAATATTATTGTCACCTACCGGGATATAATTTGTTACTGAGGTAATCAACGTAAGCTGTGTCTCCGAGTAGAAATAATTTACCTACATGTGGTGACAAGTTATCACCGTCTTGCGCATATATTTATCTCCTTGCGGTAATAGATTAGAACCTGAGGGAAGCAAACATAGTTTCTAAATTATGTATTTATTTATTTAAATACGATTTAGTTAGAGATTAAATTTCTTCACATTTCTCTACATACTACATACATATGTACACATAAATATAAAAATTAAATTGTGCATGCTTACATATATATATGTATATACATTCTTATATTACTTATAATGTTAGTGAAAATTGATTCTCGTACTAGCTGGCTCGAGTTTGTTATTCTGGTGAAGATTTGCCTGGTATAAATACATATAAATCAAATAAAATTAAAAATATCTGTATTACCCTGCAGTACTCAAACTAAATAAATCGCTGATTAACAGAAATAAAAATAAAATAAGAATGAAATGAGGGCCCACCTGTTCATAATTTGACATTTCAACCATCGCGTTGAATTTGACGCTGGGAATGAATTTAGTCTAATTGGGGCTAAAAGAAATGAAGCGTTAACTGTATAAATTTTAAAATCACACTCAATGACAAATTAAACTTATTTACTACTACTTTAAATGGAGTTTTATCTTACCACAAAAGCATCTTCCACGAAGAGTTCCGTGGAACACGCAACGTTGGAATGTTATTCCAGTAAAATTGGAAAAATATCCTCATCTCAATCTGAGCCGTATCTTTGAACGAAATTTGCACATCAGGATCTAGAAAAAACTGGTTTTAGTGTAAATATTTATAGGACAAAAAACAATAAAATTACAGAATAAGCATCCTGAACAATGAATTAAAAGTATTTACCTGAAATGTAGAGTAATCCAGAATTTGAACCTCTAATTACTAATTTTTTCCTCGGATCTTGATGTCTGCGTGGTAGTCGAAGTTGGGAATAAATATAATTTAACAATATTGGAGCCAACCCAGGTTTATTTTGGCGATTCAAATTTTGGGCTAATTGGAAATAAACAGTTTGTCAAACTTTAGACTGAATACCTTTATAAAGTTAACTCTGAGTCAATCAACTACATGAGTGTAACCTATCCTCCTTCACGACTAAATGGTATTGAGACATTTGTGGCTCCATTGGACTCCAAAAGCTGGATTTGCCTTTGGTTAATTGTTGCAATGGTAGGTGTATTTATCACCTTGCGAAACACAAACCAGACAAATATCTACACGAAGGGCGCCATTCTTCTGGATAATCTTATAGTTGTGATATGCATCCTTCTCGGTCAGGTTGGCAACAGTACTGGAAAAACGTATCGGACAGGGTCAGTCATACTTGTGCTCGTATCCTTCTGGTTATTTGGGAATTTCTTCCTCATGTCAAATTTCTACCAGGACTCGATGTATTCAAATTTTGCCGTTGTAAGACCGAATGCGCAACCAAGAGGGATTTACGACCATATCAATTGGGACGTACCCATTGTAGCGATGGATTATGTTTACGATTTTAACACCCGCTCGAAAAAATCTGTCCTGCTGGATTTCATTATTCCAGAATTAATCTCTAGGTGGGATAAAAATTCGAAATTTTCAAGATTCTTGGAAACTCTCCGAGCAAAGTTTATAGCGAGCGATGAGAGCACGGTGGGAAGCATCCATCAGGGAAATTTCGTAAAGGGTAAATCAATGATTGTTCCATTTTGGGCTACAAGTAAATTAGTTTCCATGGAACGACAAATAAAACTTAGAGGCAATTATCACATTGTGCGAAATAATGGCGATTCTCCATTCACTGTGGTAACTTATACAAGCGGAATGAGAAATTTGCTAACACCGTACCTCGAAAAGGAATGGGGGCGAATTCGTGAGGCTGGTTTGACTCAGGAGGGGAGCTTCCGAGGTTGATAATAACAGATTTGCTTGAAATTTTTACCAATGAGACTTTGGGATAAATGAACCTTAACGCTTGTAGCTTTTGATGCCATGGCCATAGAGAGCTGAGAAATTAATTTCGAAAGTTTCAAATTTTCGGGTAGGGAAATGTATCAGATTACTGGGCACCTTTCCGTAAGATACCTCCAGAATAGATCAATATTTTTGAAAACTGTTTTTGGCAACCCATTTCTACTTTTCGGGGGTGAACAAGTTCGGTCATGGAGTCAGTCGGACCACCCCCCCTTAGCGCTAGGGGGTGTGGTCAAATACCTTTTTTGGAATTATTTCTTCTCTTTTCGCATGGATGGCACCCCATGGCACCCTACATCATAAAAAAATTATCTAACCTAGCTACCACACCCCTTCAACTCAGGGGGTGTGGTTATATCGAAACCGGTTATGGTTGAGGAACCAAAATTAAGCACATTTCTTGCTGAGGGGCTTATTGGCCGATCTTGTAATGCTTAATAACATTGAAAATTGAAATTCTTATTACTCTTTCAATTGTTGGTCGATTTTCAAAATTGCGACTGTTTTGGAAAGGTCAGACCCATTGTCGAAATATATGTTCCCAGATTTTTGAAATTCGACCACACCCCCTAGAAATAAAGGTCACAATTTCAAAAAATAAGTAAATTACAATTAATTAATACAGCGGAATTCTAAATCACAAAAATCGAATTGCATGTCGAAAAAATACGTCGACCCCCAGGCCACCCTAAAAAATGTTCTAGTGGTCACATGCCCCACCCCCAGTAGGTGTGGCCCTGGGCGCCTTTTCGATTTTAACGAAAACATAGGATGCGACATATCATTTTTCTCAGCTCAATGAGGACGTTACCACTGAATACTTAGAATTTCCGAACAACACCCCCAGTGGATGTGGTTCTCAGTTACTTTCAAACTCAACCGAACCATGTCGTGCAATATGTCATTCTTTTCAGCTTGACCAGGGGGTCTCGATGGAATACCTTAAATTTAGAAACCACACCCTCAGTGGGTGTGGTCGTGTGAGATTTTTCAATTTTAACGAAACTAGGTCATATGATATATCATTTTTCTTAGTGCGACGAGAGGATTCGACCCACTAATAAAAATTTCCAAACCACACCCCCAGTGGGTGCGAAAAAAACTCAGGATATAAATATGAAGTATATTGTAATGCCATACTATAATTCTGTATCAAATTTATCTAAAATAGCAATAGATTTTATACGAAATGAAGCCAATAAGTCTAATAATGATAAATATAAGCGCATTGTGAACTCATGGAATATGATTTGTACATAGCTATAAGAAAATCAATACACTTAAGGATATTTGTAAGTAATACGTAGACCAGTACTGTTCTAAAATTAAGATATGCAAATGATAAACGCTACGAACGATTTTTAGTTTGCTCACCACCACCACTACTATTACTACTTTTCCACACGTCAGTGCCATTTTATAAATATATTTGTAGTTTTGTTTCATAAAAATTTGGACTATTAATCATAAATTGTGAAACAGGTAATTTGCGCTTAGTAGCAGCATATATGTATATGCACATGTGTTTATATTTATTTACTTATTTAATCTCTTTAGTGTGGCAGAGGAATCAATCGCTTTTTATAAGAATAGATTTCTTAACAATTCGAGTATATTTACTTTAAACCATAGGTAATAATTATAATCTGTCCGCTAAATTTATTTATATTATAAAATATGTATATCTTTCACCATATAGTCTGATGAAGTTATTCGAAACCGGTCGCAATGGTGAATAAATCTGATCTTCATTCAACAGTTTAAAGTGTTTATTGTTCTTATCGCAAAGTTATTAAGCATTACAAGATCGGCCAATAAGCCCCTCAGCAAGAAATGTGCTTAATTTTGGTTCCTCAACCATAACCGGTTTCGATATAACCACACCCCCTGAGTTGAAGGGGTGTGGTAGCTAGGTTAGATAATTTTTTTATGATGTAGGGTGCCATGGGGTGCCATCCATGCGAAAAGAGAAGAAATAATTCCAAAAAAGGTATTTGACCACACCCCCTAGCGCTAAGGGGGGGTGGTCCGACTGACTCCATGACCGAACTTGTTCACCCCCGAAAAGTAGAAATGGGTTGCCAAAAACAGTTTTCAAAAATATTGATCTATTCTGGAGGTATCTTACGGAAAGGTGCCCAGTAATCTGATACATTTCCCTACCCGAAAATTTGAAACCTTCGAAATTAATTTCTCAGCTCTCTATGGCCATGGAATCAAAAGCTACAAGCGTTAAGGTTCATTTATCCCAAAGTCTCATCGGTAAAAATTTCAAGCAAATCTGTTATTATCAACCTCGGAAGCTCCCCTCCTCAGTTGTGGCACAAGGTGTATAAACAGCACGACGTATTAAGAGGAAAACTGAGACTTAAGAGGGTAGGTAATTATTTTATGGCAGTGCAGTACGCATTTGGCAATGTCATAGAGCCCATCATATTTTATGAATCTCAGCCCGTTTCGATGGACCTAATTTTGCCTGGCGTTGTCTTATGTGCAATTTTTATGGTGGTTGGAGTAGCTGTTTTTGTGACGGAATATAGGAAGAATCTTGGGGAAATATTGGTGAAGAAAGTAGGAAAGATCTGTAGAATTTGGAAAGTTTGTCGAAATGCGAGAGAAGAGAACTAATCAAGATCCAAAAGATGACCAAGTCACAATAGGACTCATGGTTGTTTATGTATATTAATGGATTAGCGATTAGAATTTGCAAAATCTTTTGTGAACTTCATCGAGTTTGTCTACTACTAAACGTACATACTTATTTCTAAAAAATTGATGCACAGTGTGTTTTACAATTCGTATTCGTTTATTCCTATAACTTTATTATGTTAAATAAAATAATGCGTGATAGCAGTATATAAATCATACAAATTATACAAATCATGTCCTAAGTTATTAAAATTATGTATGCAATTTTTTATGATCTCATGCATTTTTTAAATCCCTTTATAATTTTGAGCAAGCTTTTTGTATCATTGTCACAATGACCTTACAATTAAACATCTACGATGCAAGTTCTCCTACAATAAGCATTGTCATAGATTTGTGATAATTTTTCAAGATTATAAATAGCCAATCACTATTAGCCGGCCATTTTTAGGCAATCATTGTACGCTAATAATGATTGGTGAAATCACAAAAACCGAAGAATTTCCAAACACAAAAATAAAACACTGTGTTTTCAACCCATCAATGCATCCGAAATTATTTTTTAAAGTAAAAAATTAATTAATTAAGAGAATAATAGACACGTATAACAATTTTTTTCTAATCGAATGAAACCAATGAAGTGCGCAATTATTTTTCAAGAGTATGAATCCGACTACAGTGACTCGCCAGTGGGAAAAAATTGTAAAACTTCTTCCCGCAAAAATAGCATTCCTTTCCCTTCACCCCGACGTGCATCCGGGTCACGTGACTCGTCAAGTTTTCCTTGATTCTGCTTTGATATTCGCAATACTCGAAGGAGTACGTGGGCGCCTCATTTGTCGGATGGCTGGCTCTGATGTGATACTTCAACCCGTGAGAACTCCTTAGGATTTTGTCACAAATCGTACAGAAATATTTTTTCTGGTCGTGGTGATTCTTCACGTGGAACGAAATCCCTTGTTGCGAGTAGAAAATGAGTGGACATAAACGGCATGGAAACGCAGGTCGTTCAGCCTTCTTCATGTGAGTTCTCTGAAAACGGAGAGAAAATCAAATACCATAATTATGTGGACTCTAAGAAACCCGGTAACTAATTTATTATCAGGCGGAGTATCTATGTGACTCTACCGCATGGTAATTTATTTATTATTGCGTGGTAGACATTTTCTTACCAAACCGGTAATAACCCCGGTCGCGAAATTTGAAAATATTACCCGTTGGTAACTAATCTTGTACCATTTAATAATAAATTAATTACCATGCGGTAGATTCACATAGATACTCCCCTCGTAGTAACTTAGTTACCGGGTTTCTTAGAGTGTAGCTATTATGTGAAAAATTTCAGATATTCATAAATGGTTTGCCGTTTTTCATGTGAATAAGACCAAAGGGTGAAAAACTGTCCAGCCGAGTTGGCAACTCGGCTTGACCATGTTCCTTCTCTGTCCCCGAAATTTTGACCGCCCTGAGGTCTGAAACCAACTGAATTTTTTTCAAAGGGTAGTTTCTCTCAACATCCAAAATTACGACAACCCGACAAATTTTTCTTTTGAGTCGACAGCGTATGTATGTATTTACACTGTAATTAATTTTGAGACAAATCGTCCCCCTCGGAGGTGCTATACTGTTCTATTTTCTGGGTAACGATTACGGAGACATGTTACCACCAAATGGAGATAAGTAAAAAAAACTCGTGTACGAAACACATGTGACGTCCTAATTAAAAAAAACTTTAAATTGAAAATTTTATATGACCATAAAATGATTTTTTTAGAATAAAAGTATTGCATTTTTTAAATGGCGACGTCACACCTGTTTGGTACACGAGTTTTAGCTTATTTCCCAATGGTGATAAAACGTCTCGGTATTTTAATCACTACCCAATAATAGAGCAGTATGTATTGTATCTCGGTCGGGTGACGATTTGTCACCAAACTATTTAGAGTGTAGGTAGGTGTGCCGCTCGGCCGGATGCCAGCTCGTGAACAGGACTGAATACTCATACCTGTTCACTTTCATTCATGTCACTGATTATTATAGAAAATGAAAATAAATTTCCTCCGATTTGAATTCAAATGAGTGAAAGTTTCCATCATTTCAGATGAATGCCTTTAAATGAAAGGGTTTCTCACTTTTTTAATTTTTCACCCTATGTTTAATACATGGGGCGGAGTAAGAAATTAAGTCAGATTACGTGAAATGAGATGAGTTTGAAAGAAAGTGACTCAGTGTAAATGAAAATCTTTAGTAAGAAATCAGGATGAATGAGTTTTGAATCAAAAACATTTCTTTGAAGAGGTATTTAACTCATGACAGTGCAAACTGCATTTTTGTGTGAAACTCTTCCCACACGTGGCACACTTGAAGCGTTTCTCCGTCGTATGAGTAGCAATGTGTCTGTCAAGGTTTTGTTTTTGCGTGAATTCCTTCCCACAAAGGGTGCAAGGATATCGGACTGCATTTTGGGCGTGTTGCTGCTTAAAGTGATTTGCTAGGTTGACCTTATCTAGGAAGGTTTTCGGGCAGCCGGAAAAAGTGCAGGGGAGTCGTGGTCGTTCTTCTCTGGATTTGTGCCTTCTTTCCATGTGGCCTCGCAGCTCCCGAATCATGGCAAATTCTGCATTGCAAACTTTGCATCTTTGTTTTGCTTTATTGCTGTGAAAATTCTGCATGTGCGTGTAGAGGACGAGGCGATTCTTTAATTTTTTACTACAAATCTGTGTACATATAAAATAATCCGTTACAACCGCATGTAACCAAGGGGTGAAACCGGGAACTTTATAACATTTGTGAGGTGACATATGTATCAAATTTAACATATGGTGTCACTTAACAGTTAACAGCCATTTAACAAAATTCATGTTCTTTGAGGTCAAAACAAAGGTCACCATTGAATTCGGGGTTAAATTTTAGTTAAAATTGACATATCAGATATAACGTTTAATGACCTTTCACTGACCTCTAAGTGACCTTTATTTGACCTCTGAGGTCAAAATGGAGGTCACCATTAAAATCAGCCTTAAATTTCCTCTAAAATTGATATGTATCTGAAATTTGACCTTTAAATGATATTTCGTGACCTTTTGACCTTGAAGGGTGTGACCTATAGGGTCCATCTTCGAATTTTAGCCTTTGTTTGTATACGAGATATTTATGTTCCAAATTTCAAGTCAATATGTTGAACCGTTCTTGAGTTATCGCACGGACGGACGGACAGACGGACGGACGGACGGACATATCCATCTTATAAAGGGGTTTCACCCCTTCATAAATATTTAAGTTTCATGTAGTATATATGACACACACAGAAATTTGGTTATAATCATCACCAAAAAGTAAACGCACATGACCCTACCGGCACAGAGGTGGACGTCGCCGACGCGCGGTCGCCGCCGAAAAATTGGACTTCCTATTCCTTCAAAATTTCGACAGCGGAAAACTTAGCAAAAATTGGCCTTGCCGAAAATTTGTCGGCGTCGAGATATATTTACTGACAAATTTATCACTGGCCAGGTGTAATAGTTGTAACATTTATACCGAATCGGCGAAAATGTATAACCGGTAAAAATTTATTGTCAGTCGGTCACAACATTATCAGCATCGTGTACTTCTTGGTAATAATCGTAACCCAATGTGTGGGAGTGTATTTACAGGGTAGTTTAAATGTCAGGTTACAATGAAAACTTTTCAATTGGAAAAATTCGCAAATCTGCCTCAGTTATCGAAATTTTGCCTCTGAAATTCAATATTTCAAGAATTTTGTCATCAGTGTTCCATAAGTTTTGATAAAAATTAATAAAAATCTCAATCCTAAATAAATCTGTAACTAATGAAGATTTGCGGATTTGTCATTGAACAATTTTCCATTGTAACCTGATATTTAAACCACCCTGTATTTATTGATGAGTTTGATGTAAACTATTTTATTCACGTACTTACCTCACATTTAACTTGCGAGTTGGTCTCATGAGTGATGGCACGACGGTCGAGGTACTGCTTCTGTTCAAATATTTTTGAACACTTGACGCACTTCCAGCTCTTTTCAGTCGTGGGATTCATTCTTTTCGCTTGTAAGTAGAACCTCGGGGTAAAATTATTGTATGTTTCTACGGAGTACACACTCAGAGCAAAAAGTAAGCAAATTTGCTACCGGGCGGTGTCTATATATGACCTCACCGGTTTGGCAGCGATTTGCTACGAAATTGTAGTAAATTTGCTCCCACATTTTGTCTCACCGTAACAGCGCGGTAGGGAAATACTAGAACATAGTAACATATTTACTACAACTCTGTAGCAAATCGCTACCAAACCGGTGAGGTCATATATAGACACCGCGTTTAGCGATTTTGCTCTGAGTGCAGTAATTTTTAGACGAACTCACAATAAGTACGCACTTCCAAGGTTGAAAAGGTTTTTAGTCGATATTTGCCGTGGGATAAAAACGCCAATTGAAACTAATTATGTACTCATGGAAAAGATTCTAATCCAGAGGTGTCCTTGCTTAATTAAATAATAAATATTAACCGAGAAAGTTTTGTTGAAAATAATTTAAACCAGATAAACCGATCCACCTCTCAGCGTAGGGTTGACAATGTGTCTGAAAATTGAACAAGACGACCCTCTAACGAAAGAGTAAAAAGCACGGTATTCTTAATTTAGAAAGGTTAAATCCACGAATCTGGGTTCGACGTAAAAATTTTAGGTCTAAACGTACATATTTACATACTTATGTACATGTCCTGTCCTTAATCCGGTTGAAGTTATTTATAAAATGCTAAGGGTGATTAAGAAAGGCGTACATACATACATATCTATCTTATACATTATCATTTATCTACATTATAAGCTGGAAATGTTTGTCTGCAACGGAAGTGAAAGTAATTTTCCGTGACGGAAGTGAAAGTGGGGAAAGTTTCACTTTCGCTTCCAACCGACATTTGCAGCTAATAATATAGATACTACACAAAAATAATTCGGTGGAATTATGATCAATACCACTTAATTTTCACGAAAATTAAATAAGCCCGGCGGAAGACAGGCTTATACGCTAGTAACTTATACGAATATTTGTCAGTTATAGTTATAGTTATAGGTTGAAATCTGCAAGATGTTCATAATGTGAATTTCATATTTTTTTTTTCAAAAATGCAGAAATTCAGTATTTAAATTTTAAAAAGAATAAATTTTCCGATTTCGGTAGTATGAAAATATGTATTTATCTTTTACCTTATAGTTGATAGGTATGTACGTAAATTCCGCAGAACATGTATGTATGTAATACGTGGTTAAAAAACTGAAAACATGCACATAAAATATGTATGTTTTTCGACTTAAATTTTCTTCTGTATTTATGAAATATAATTTTGAGAAAACTTTAATTTCCGAATAAAGAAAAATATTTTTGAATAAAAAACTTATTTTAAAATACAAAATTAATTAATTCATAAGAATAATAAATAACAATTTTTTTCTAATCGAATGAAATCCATGAAATGCGCAATTATCTATTTTTCAAGAGTGTGAATCCGACTACAGTGACTGGCTGATAGGGCAAAATTGTAAAACTTCTTCTCACAAAAATAGCATTCCCTCCTCTTCACACCCACGTGCACCGTGCCACCTGGCTTGTCAAGTTTTCCTTGATTCTGTTTTGATATTCGCAATACTGGCAGAAGTAAGTCGGCGCCTCATTTGTGGCATGGTTGACTCTGATGTGATACCTCAACCCGTGAGCACTCCTTAGGTTTTTGCCACAAATCGTACAGAAATATTTTTTCTGCTCGTGGAAATTCTTCACTTGGAAGAAAATCCCTCGTTCTGAGTAGAAAGTCAGGGGACACAAGTGGCAAGGAAACACGGGTCGTTCAGCCTTCTTCATGTGAGTTCTCTGAAAACGGAGAGAAAATCAAATACCAGAATTAAACATGTACAAATGTGCTGTTTTCAACTTATTTCATTTTTCACCCTATGCTCAATACATGGGGCGAAGTAAGAAATGAAGTCGGATGACGTGAAATGAAATGAGTTTGAAAGAAAATGACTGAGAATGCGATGGTGTGAAGTGTAACCCTCGGATTTGGTTAAAGTTTTGAAATTATGTGGTCCATGTCGTTGACTTTGATCAAGGCGAGGAAATAATCTACAGTGTCGGACAGATGTCTACGTCCACATAGTCGCGTCAATTTCATTTTCAAATTGTCACTGAACTACTGAACCAATTTTCATCATTGATATATCAAATTCTCACAAATTTAACGTAATTTCATAGCACATTATTAGTTTTCCGCTAAAAAATTTATTTTAGGCCAGAGATGTATTTTAATTCAAAATGAAAACAATTGGATGGACAAAAATCAACGTCCAGTCAGAGAAAACATACAAAAAAAACTGTAATTTATAAGGAATGTTATAACAATTAATTTTTAATATTTGGTTGGGCCTCCGTTCGCTTTAAGGACGGCTTCAAGGCGTCGAGTCATAGAGTTTACCAAATTCTTGGTCACATCTTCAGAAATGGTTTCCCAAACTTCACGAATTCTGGATTTTAGGCCCGGAATTCCTGAAAAAGATTTTTTTCTTATTTCTCTTTCAATGTGGTCCCACAGATGCTCAATGGGATTCAAGTCTGGAGATTGGGGAGGCCATTCTAGCTTCGGAATTTTTTTTTCTTGAAGTATTCCATGGTGGACGTGGCAGAGTGTTTCGGATCGTTGTCTTGTTGGAAGGCAAATCGTCGTCCAAGTCCAAGTTTTCGAACAGATTCCTGGATATTACGGTCAAGTATTCCCTGGTACTTGTATTGGTCCATAATTCCGTCAACAAATTCCATTTTTCCTGCCCCACTTGAAGCCATGCATCCCCACACCATTACCGACCCGCCGCCGTGCTTAACTGTGGGGTTAAGATTTTTTGGATTCAATGCTTCTTTTGGATATCTCCACACTCTACGACGCCCATCTGACCCAAAGACATTGAACTTTGACTCGTCAGTCCATAAAATATGTCCCAGAATGTTTGTGGCTTGGAAATGTGGTCTCTGGCAAACTTCACTCGTTTGGTTGCATTCCTCGGTACAATAAGAGGCTTCCGGACTGCTCTGTGGGATTTCAAATTTCCCTTATTCAGTGTTCTTTGGATGGTCATAGGACTAACCTGTTTGCCGAACATCTCCTTGATCTCGGTAGATAGCTTTGGAGCACTAAGTGAGGGTGTAACGTTGACTTTGTTGAGCACGTGGCGTACTTCTGGGTGAGCCAAAATCGGTTTTCGACCACTTCTGACCTTGTTTTGGACTGAACCATTAGCTCTAAAGTTCTTAATGATTGTCTGGATGGTTGTCCTTGCTAATTTATACTTGGTCCCTATTTGTCTCTGCGACAGCCCCCCTTTTTGTCCACCCTTCCAGTCCTGAATGACAAGATCTCGAATAGCGATAGGAATTTCCTTGCGTGTCGACGCCATCATATTTTTCTGGAAGAAAATTATTTAAAAATTAATGCGGCATATGTTATTGATAGATTTATTAAGTTACCTGATTTTATAAATTGGAGAGATTTTTGTTGTTAACAATTAAGGTGAAGTGGACGTAGACTTTTGTCCGCTCAAATTTCATCCTCTCTCGCTCTGCACTATGATTCTCAGTTTTCCCAGAATTTTCAGAAATAACTCATATGTTTTATGAAATTACGTTAAATTTGTGAGAATTTGATATATCAATGATGAAAATTGGTTCAGTAGTTCAGTGACAATTTGAAAATGAAATTGACGCGACTATGTGGACGTAGACATCTGTCCGACACTGTATGTTGTAGAATTAAATTGGGGGATGGAATCTGTCTTTGTTATTTAACTAAGAGAGTGTGAGTGTGATTCTTGAATTTTGTATTTCTACTGACTTTTTTGCTGTTTTTTCTATTTTTTGCTGATTTTGAGATTTTGTGAAAATAATAAGAAAATTAATTTTTTCGCAGTGATTTAATCTTAAGTTTGTCATAAATCAAACTGCGTCACCAGTGAATCCAGTTTTCTGACTAGTTTTCAGACAGACGGATAGAGAGACAGACGGACAGAGAGACAGACGGACAAGAGGAATTCAATAGCTCTCATGCTACGCAGGGTGAGCTAATAATCATAATCATGATAATAATTATACTTCGTATCTGTTCCCTGATTGGCGGAGCAGAAATGTCAGCAGCCAATCAGAACGCAGGAGTGTCACAAAAAATTTCATGGGACCGACTTTTTGACATTATAATATAGATATATCCCTTGTTTGACCTCTGGGTTTGCATTCACCAAAATCTGGGCCTGTTGAACCATCTTTAACACGTAAAGTGACTGAATAAATCTAAAATAAATTAGGATCAGCAATACAAATTAGAATATATTCAAATTTGTAACGACGTGGGGGCCGTTACCGAGCGAGGGCCAATTCGTATCATAAGTACCTCTATTTCCGCTAGTGGTATCTACATATACGTGTTTGATACGCCCCTTATCGTTTGCGTGCAAGATAAGAATTTGCATAATAACTCGTTAAAATAATGCTACTCACGCTATTTTAAATACATCTTTTATATAAGCTAACTATTGTCGTGTCCTGGTCATGCAATATGAATTATTTTATACCAACTTGTATAAATGGAATTGCAGACAGGCATCACAAATAAATTATTCACAAATGTATGGAGAACAGAACTGCAAAATTAGAAATTCCTTATGATAATAAGCAATACTCCATTTGTCAGAACCAACTTGACAGAAAAATAATTTACTACATAGTATGTTGAAAAATATTTCTCTTTAAATTTTTATTTTGAATTATCTGAAACTAAGAGTTTAATCCTTCTTTGAGTAGTCCTCTTAGGTTTTCCGAACATAATGCAGCATCATATTTGGATTTTCATCTTATTCTTCGCAACCATACTAACATCGTGCTCCTGTGAAATTTGGAAAGACATATTTTTCGACGCTGACCTAACCTTCATACTTACCCCAGAGTGCAATGGAAGTAGTGATTTACCTCACCATCATAAACCCATTGTACGTAGCAATCCGTACACCCCTCAACGCTATGTCATTCTCTGTCGAACAAAATCCAAATTCAGATACGACAATGAACTTCTGCAAACATTTCACTATAGCTACAAGGAAAAAAGTGCAAGGAGTGAGGCCGTTTTCGTGTCGCTGAATGCCACCATGGGTTATAAGTGTGAGATGTTGTTAAAAAGTGTGACCGACATATTTCGACCAGAATATATTTTTTCAGAAAAAACGTCTCGCCACAAAGACGCAGCATGCCTTCGAAATCATGCTTACCTTCTGGCCTGGCTAAAGTGATTCTTTTTGATACTACAAACCTATTCATTCCCTGCTTGACATGTAAATCGGTAATTTTTTCACATTGGACAATGATCACCATGACAGGAATTCGAAAAGCTTGGGACGCCTGGAATTTGGATATGCATAAATATTCAGTGTTCATGTGGGGTTCAGAAAACGTGCAGTGTGGCTTGCTCCATCATGAATTTGCCGATGTGACGGATCTTGACGTCTGTGCGGTAGTGGAAATTGGGAATAAATATAATTTAACAATATTGGAGCCAACCCAGGGTTATTTTGGCGATTCAAATTTTGGGGTAATTGGAAATAAAGAGTTGGTCAAACTTCCGACCGAATACTTTTATAAAGTTAACTCTGAGTCAATCAACTACATGAGTGTAAGCTATCCTCCTTCACGACTAAATGGTATTGAGACATTTGTGGCTCCACTGGACTCCAAAAGTTGGATTTGCCTTTGGTTAATTGTTGCCTTGGTAGGTGTATTTATCACCTAACACAAACGAGACAAATATCTATACAAAGGGCGCCATTCTTCTGGATAATCTTATATTTGTGACTTGCATTCTTCTCGGTCAGGTGGGCAACAGTGCTGGAAAACCGTATCGGACCGGGTCAGTCGTACTTGTGCTCGTATTTTTCTGGTTATTTGGGAATTTCTTCCTCATGTCAAATTTCTACCAGGACTCGATGTATTCAAATTTGGCGGTTCTAAAACCGAATCCGCGACCAGGAGGGGTTTACGACCTTATCAATTGGGATGTACCCATTGTAGCGATGGATTATTTTTATGATTATAATTCCCGCTCGAAAAGATCTGTCCTGTTGGATTTCATTATTCCAGAATTAATCTCTAGATGGGACAAAGATTCGAAATTTTCAAAATTCTTGGCAACTCTCCGAGCAAAGTTTATAGCAAGCGAGGAGATCACGATGGGAAGCATCCAAAAGGGAAATTTCGTTAAGGGTAAATCAATGACCGTTCTATTTTGGGCTAAAAGTAAATTAGTTTCCATGGAAAGGGAAATAAAACTTAGAGGCAATTATCACATTGTGCGAAATAATGGCGACTCTCCATTCACTGTGGATGCATTCCACTGGATGTGTACAACTTTCCCTGATTCCATTTTTCAGAGAGAGACAGAGATTCAGGCTGATTCTCGCAGGTGTCACTACCCGCTCGCAGAAGGGGCGTATGAAACTCACCAGTCTTTGTCTCTCTCTGACAAACATTTTATGTTTGTCAGAGAACATTTTCTTACCAACGAGCATCTCATTTAATGTAATATGTAATGCATTCATATGCAACATATATTAAATAAAGATGCTGGTGGCATCTTTTAATTTGTTACCCCGGGTTTTCAACCACCTCGTGTTCAGATGATTTTCATCTTCACACGAGTTGGTTTGTTTTCCAAATTCTCCAGTTTTTTTTAAAGCAATAAAAAAGTGTGAGTTTTTTATAAATTAATAAAAAAAACTGTGCATCATGGAGTCTTACTCCTCCCACACGGATCAGCCACCAGTACCACCACCCCCACTTTCGCCCCCGCCACCACCGCCACCCCTTCTTTCGACCATGTCGTCGTCATCATCATCATCATCATCATCACCACCACCACCGGATACTACCCCACCCGCCCAAGGAATTCATGGTATGTATCCTTTTTTGTTGTATTTGGGGAGGGTGGGGTTCCTGGTACCACTCCCCCTGCCCTGTTGGGTAGGGGGTCGTCTTCTCCGCCAGTATGTTCCTCTACATACGGTGGTACCAGAAGAGAGGAACATGCTGGCTAAATTTGGTTTTTTAAACCATATTTTAACCTTTTTGGTTGTTTTTGCAGAAGATGCAGAAACCAGACGGAACGTGGAAGGTAATTTTTTAAATTATGTTTGAAAAATTAAAAAATATAGTAACAATGTTTGAAAAAAATTAAAATTGGTAAAATCATATAAAATTTGGTAAAATATAAGTATTTATATTAATGAAAATTCTATTAAATTTGGTAAACAATATCAGAGCGTGTTTAATTATTAACATTAATGAAAAATTTATTAAATTTGGCAAAAAATATCAGAGCGTGGATAATTATTTATATCCACTAAAATTTTATTAAAATTGGCAAAAAAATATCAGAGCGTGGTTAATTATTTATATCCACTAAAATTTGATTAAAATTGGCAAAAAAATTCAGAGCGTGGTTAATTATTTTATTAATGAAAATTTATTAAATTGTAAAAATATCAGAGCGTGGTTAATTATTTTTATTAATGAAAATTTTATTAAAGTTGGTAAAAAATATCAGAGCGTGGTTAATTATTTTTATTAATGAAAATTTTATTGAACTTGGTAAAAAATATCAGAGCGTGGTTAATTATTTTTATTAATGAAAATTTTATTAAACTTGGTAAAAAATATCAGAGCGTGGTTAATTATTTTTATTAATGAAAATTTTATTGAACTTGGTAAAAAATATCAGAGCGTGGTTAATTATTTTTATTAATGAAAATTTTATTAAACTTGTTAAAAAATATCAGAGCGTGGTTAATTATTTTTATTAATGAAAATTTTATTAAACTTGTTAAAAAATATCAGAGCGTGGTTAATTATTTTTATTAATGAAAATTTTATTAAACTTGGTAAAAAATATCAGAGGAATATAGGATAATTATTAAAATATTTCAAAGTATTAATAAATTATAAGAGTGCTAAATTATATTTTATAGTACGACTCTGCAATATTGGACTCTTGATTGCCCACCATGGCTGGACTTGTTCTAAAGATAAATCTGTGGCTGGATTAGTTAGCAAGATGGAGCAATACAGGATTTTGCACTCAATGAAGCAGACATTTCCAGGGTACAATCTTAAAGTTAATTTTAATGATAACAGCATCTGCACCAAATGTATCGAGTATTTTGGTCGGCGAAGAAGCGCTATGCTATGTTGTCATCCAAAACATAATGATAAGTATAGTGGTAAGTATGTGAAGTACATTACCGCGGAGCAATACTTTACCCAGTATAAGGAGATAGGTTTATTACCAAATCAAGCTATATGCAAGGACGTAAAATTTTGCCATGGTTATGCTGAAGAAATTCAAGAACAAGAGTCGGAAGACCCATTTGAAGAACCTGTCACCAAGAAGAAATTGGTCGATACGTTGACCAATATAAAACAGACAATCTCTCCTTCATCCCCTGCAATAACATTTAATAGAAGAAACCTCATCCAACAGGGTAACCTCGTCACAAGAGAACTTGAGCAAGTTGCCAAGACAATCACCACAGGATTTAAAGAAGTCGGATTGCCAATTGAAGAAGAAGATAAACAACAACTTCTACAAGATTCTGAAGATCTCAAGTGGATCATGAACAACTTAAAGTTGAGATTGCAAGGATGTTCTCAAGCCGAAAAAAAACAGCTTTTAACCCTGGTTCCGCCATCTTGGAGTATCAAGAAAACCAAAGACTTCTTCGACGTTGGACAGCGGTTGGTCCAGGGAAGTCGAAAACGTCGAACAGAAACCAACACCATTCTTCCTCCCGTAAAACCAAAATGTGGATTCAAAATTACTGATGAGACAAAATCCAGGATTAAGGACTTCTATTATCAAGATGATGTTTCTAGAGCCTGCCCAGGACAACAGGACTTCTTATCCATAAAGAACAAGGAAACAGGGAAACGAGAACATAAGCAGAAGCGGTATCTTTTAAGCAATCTGCGGGAGCTCTACGAAATTTTCAAGACCCACCACCCGGATTCGAAAATTGGGAAATCATCCTTTATGATTCTAAGGCCGCCAGAATGCATCTCGCTAACCAGCAAGGGATACCACAACGTTTGCGTATGTATTCATCATGAGAACGTCAAACTTTTGTTCCACGCTATCAAGATTTCTTCAATCAAGCCTTTAATTTCACAATTAGTTTGTGAAAACGGAGGCAAGGATTGCTACTACAGGAGATGTGCTCAGTGTAAAGGATCCACAACAAGATTCAAAACAACTTTAAGAGAAAATGACGTACTCAAGAACAACGAGTCAATATCGTACCGAAGATGGCTAACAACCGATGGGACCCAATACGTGACTCAAGAAAAGGATACCGAAGAATTCTTGGACTTTGCAACTTTAGAATTGGAGAAGATGATGAAACATCACTACATCAGCAAAGCTCAGCATGAATTTCTGGTGGATCTTCGCCAGAATCTCAAACCAGGTGAGATTGTCATATGGGGCGATTTTTCTGAAAATTATTCACCTGTCATCCAAAATGCTGTCCAGTCTGAGTATTTTTCCCATAAACAAATCACTCTCCACCCCTTCACGATATATTGGAACGTGAATCAAGAAGTCAAGATGAAGAGCATAACTGTCATTAGTGATTGTACCACTCATGACACAAACTCTTTCTACGCATTCCAGACCAAACTCGTACCAAAACTTGTTGCTGAGTTTGCTGCTGCCCAAATCAAGATTACCAAGATCTACTACGTTTCGGATGGATCTGCAGCCCAATATAAGAACCGAAAAAACTTCTGTAACTTATACCATCATCTAAAGGACTTCGGAATTATAGCTGAATGGAACTATGGAGCAACTGCTCATATGAAGGGACCTCAAGATGCTCAAGGAGGAATTGCGAAACGTCGAGCAAGAACTGCATCCCTACAAGGCACCAAGATTACAACAGCCTTAGAATTCTATAACTGGTGCAGTTCAAATATCAAAGGAATAGAATACATCTTCATCTCGGATTCCGAAATTCAGGAGATTATTGATGAAAAGGATTTAACTTCCCGGTACGAGACAATAAAAACAATTGCGGGGACTCAACAAGCTCATCGTATTGAAATTGCATCGGGAAAAATTCACCTTTACGAAGTTTCTCGGGACACCACGGTGATGGCTACGAAAATAATGGAATCCGAAGGCCAACCTCCCCTGGTCATCATCGATGAATGCTCTGTCAGCGATTGGGTTGTTTGTGTCTACGAGAAACAATGGTATGTCGCAATCATCGACGAAGTGGACCTCGCGGAACAGGAGGTGAAGGTGACATTTTGGAAACCCAACACCTCCAAATCCAAATCTGGAACTTCGTATATTTCTGAAAACGCTTCTTGTTACATCAAGATTGGACAGATTATTAAGAAGATTTTCCCATCAAGAGCATCAAGACGTGGAACGACCATCAACATCTCTATGGAGGAGCAGGAAGAAATAGGAAGACTCTTTCAACAATTTCAACGATAAATGTATAAACTTGTAAATAGTGTATATATGTAAATAGTAGGTTAATTTCTTAGTTTAGACCTTTATTTTATGCGGTGCTAGTATTAAGAAGTGATACCTCCTAGTCTCAAGAAAGAAGAAGGACGTGGTGGCGAAGATGGACTTCGAATGGTGGTATTGGTGGCTGACCTAATAATATTTTTTAATAAATTTATTTATTAAATCATATTATTAAATACTTTAAATGAATTATTCAAATTTACCCGATTCTTCGAATTTAAAATCATTTGGTAATTTAGTCATGATCGCAGATCGCATAATATAACTTTCATATGGCTTTCAATGACTGTTTTTAATTGGTAAGAATGTTAGTTTAATTATCCCGCGATAATTAAATTAACATCACCTTGGGTAAGGGTCCGAGGTTGTTGCTACCTCGCTGATGACTGGATTTTCCAGCAGGAAGTATTTGTAAGCAAATAATTCTTGGACTAAGCATAGTCGAAACCCTAAAATTGCTGATAGTGAAGGGAGCGGAGTGACCTCGAAGGAGAAAATTTTCACTCCTCCGCTCGCCCGCTTGAGAAAAAACAGGCTGCTACTGTGAACTTTGACCTCAAATATTTGACCTCCAAGTGTCCATTCAACGGAAAGATAAGTACCACGTCATTACTAATTTTTAGCTTGATTTTTTAACATTGGTCACTAAGCGTATCTCGTGTAGCTTGAAAAAAGGTTCCATTGTTAGTTGTAACATTTATACCGAAAATGTATATACAATAACTCGGTAAAAATGTATAACCAGTCGGTGACAAGTTGATCACGATCCCGTACTTTCTGATGATAATCGTAACCCAATATGTATATTATTCATGAGTTTGGTGTAAACTATTTTACATACAGATATTTACGTACGTACCTCACATTTAACTTGCGAGTTGGTCTCATGAGTGATGACATGACGGTCGAGATACTGCTTGCATACAAATATTTTTGAACAGTTGTCGCACTTCCAGTTCTTCTCAGTTGTCGTTGGCTTCATTCTTTTTCCTGGTAGAAACTCTGGGTAAATTCATATAATTCTATTATGTATCTACACTCTAAGAAACCCGGTAACTAAGTTATTACCAGGCGGTATATCTATGTGACTCTACCGCATTGTAATTAATTTATTATTGAGTAGCAGAAAATTAGTCAGCGACAGGTAATATTTTAAAATTTCGCGACCGGGGTTATTACCGGTTTGGTAACAAAATGTCTACCACGCAATAATAAATAAATTACCATGCGGTAGAGTCACATATATACTCCGCCTGGTAATAACTTATTTAACGGGTTTCTTAGTGTGTAGTAAAGTAATTTGAGACGAACTATTCACTCTAAGTAAGGTTGAACAGGTTTTTAGACTATCTTTGCTTCGGATAAAAACGCTAATTGAAGTTAATGACGTATGGGTAAAGATTCTGATCCACTAAATAATTTCTTAAATAATACATCAACATTCCTTAACCGAGAACGTATTGTTACCAATAGTAAAAACAGGTAAACTGATCGATCTACCTCTCAGCGTAAGGGTGAAAATGTGTCAGAAAATTGAACAAGACGACCCTCTTATGATCGAGTAGAAAAAAACACTGTTAAATTCGTTAAATTCTTTAATTTAGGAAGGTTAAATCCGACTCCGTTCCACGAATTTGGGTTCGAGGTAAAAATATTTTACTCCTAAACATATTTATCTACTTACTTGTCCATGCCGTAATGCGGTTGAAGTTATTTATAAAATGCGGATGGTGATTAAAAGAAAGGCATAAATATGTATGTAAATATCTGGCGTAAATACATACCTATCTATCTTATGCATCACCATTTGTAACTTATAAATACGAAATATTTGTCTGTAATAGGATATGTATATGGAGGTGTTTTTTTAAAATTTTAATGGGTTGGTAACTTTTGCAAGAGTAGCTTAGTCAAAATCATGGCTCGCTTCCCGTATTTCTAACAAAGCGTCTTCAATAATGTGCAATCGTGATTATTAAAATTCTTGAAAATTTTTTCATCCTCAAACGAAAGAGAGACGTTACGTAACCTAATTATTAATACCCATGTTTATGTATTTATATACGTAATTGCATGCTGAGCAAGAATAATCACGGGTATGTATATGCACAAAAAATTATATGTACAAGGATTTGCAATTTTCTCGGAGTTTGTAAAAATCTGAAAAATTTTCAACATGTGAATTTTATAATATTTTTAATTTCAAAAATTCAGTATTTAAAAAAGAACAAATTTTCTCATTTCTGTAGCACTTATTTTTACTTTGTCAAGAGTTACAAATTAGAAAGAGAGGATGAATTTTGTGAATTCTCCAAGTCTGGATTTTTTCATTTTTTCAAATCGAATAAACTGACACAATTTGTAGTATATAGCATAGAATTCATCTCCAAAGCAACCTTCAGAGACCTTGATTTTGATATTACCCGATTTATTTGATCTTATCTCTCCAAAGTGTGCATGACAGTAGAATGGCGGACCAATTCATTAAACTCGAAAAACCTCTTCCCACAGAAATAGCACTCGTTACTTCTCTCCCTCTCTTATTACACATCATCATTTAATGCCTTGCAGAGTTTTTACTATATATTGCTTCGTACGATCATTTTCCATAGCTTAATACATATTTAACATATGGTGTCGATAATACCGGTATTACCGAAGGTCCCAATATCGAAAATACCGAATACCGGTTTTGGAAAACAACCCCGGTATTGCATGCCCTACAAGGAACCCCACTAAATATTCAGAAATTTTGTTTTAATCAAACCATGTCGCTGACTTTGATCAAGGCGAGGAAATCTGGGGGGTAGAATTAAATTGGGGGATGAAATCTGTTTTACGCTTCTAATCAGTAGAGTAAACCATCTAAATTTTTTTGTGGCCCTCCAGATTCCGGTCTTCATTATTTTGCTACTCATTAATAAATTTCTCCAAAATAAGGTTCTTACTTTCAGCCTTAAGTTTGGATTGGATGAAGTGTAAGTAAGGATATCAGGACAATTTCGTTTAAAATTGGCATCATATTTTACAGCTTTTCCGGTTTTTGTCCATTTTTCTTCTGTCCTGGTATGTATCTAGGTCCGGGTTTTCTGGTATGTTCGAACAAAATCTATTCAATTCCGTCGTTTATCGTGCTAAGAAGAACTTTCTCCATTATCAATTACTCAAATTAAGTAACCTAATTATATTTTATGGAGTGCAATAAAGTACGATAACGTACATAGATATCGTATCATCATGTTCTAATACCCATTTTGCTCGCAAATTCTATATATGAATGCATGCCAATTTTCGTCCGAAACGTGCTTTCCATGTTGAATAAACTCAATGGCTTTCGTGAAAACGTAAAAATATGTAAATGAGGTGACACGCAAAAATAATTCTACTACACATACGCTGAAACAGGACAGAAAATTCTTCGTGATAAGTACTTAAAAATGTCTGAAGTATCTATGTAAGTATGTATTAAGTTTTTCTGACGCATGACATACGGACGACTTGAGTTAACATTCTGCACAAACGAAAAAGCCAATTATGGAACAAAGTAAAATTAATTAATACAAATATTAATTAGCACAAAATTAATTAATTCAGAAAATAATGAACAAATACATATGACAATTTTTTTCTAATCGAATGAAATCAATGAAATTATTTTTCAAGAGTGTGAATCCGGTTACAGTGACTGGCCAATTGGGCAAAATTGTAAAACTTGTTCCCGCAAAAATAGCATTCCCTTCCCTTCACACCCACGTGCACCCGTGTCACGTGACTCGTTAAGTTTTCCTTGATTCTGCTTTGATATTCGCAATACTGGCAGAAGTAAGTCGGCGCCTCATTTGTCGGATGGCGTGCTCTGATGTGATACTTCAACCTGTAAGCACTACTTAGATTTTTGTCACAAATCGGACACAAATATTGGTTCCGATCGTGATAATTCTTAACGTGGCACCAAATCCCTTGTGCGGAGTAGAAAGTGAGAGGACATAATCGGCATGTAAACACTGGTCGTTCAGCCTTCGCCAGGTGAGTTCTCTGAAAACGGAGAGAAAATCAAATACCAATTTCAACTTATTCTTCTTAGGGAGCGTCCATAAATCACGTGATCGATCCAAGGGGGGAGGGGTTTGAAACTTGTCACCATTTATCGCCAAGGGCGGGGGGGATAATGGTCGGCAAGCATAATAAGTGTATGTAGTTGTCCTTAAAATGTCATGAATGTTAAATTACTTAATATGCTTACTCATTAGTATTAAATAATTCTTTCAATAATTTTAAAACTTAATTTAACTGCGGATTTGAAAAGGTCCAGGAATATTATTATTGGATTAATTTGTGCCATGTCTTGTCCTGTCGGAAATAGGTCAGTTTGGCGAAAAGAGTTTTGCGAAAAAAAATCCGCAACGAAAAATCACACTTGGCGCAAAATAGGTTACATGCGTTGTACAGTACTTTAGTTTTAATGTGCATCCTGTCACGTGACCACGGGGGGGTAATGAATTTATCACCATTGGTCACCAAGGGGGGGGAGGGGGTCAAAATTGTCCAAAAATCGATCACGTGATTTATGGAAGCTCCCTTACAAGGGAACCTTCCGTCGTGTCTGGGGTACCCACTAGGTTTTTTTTAGAATCTATCAACAATGCGATGACGCCAGCGGTCTCGCTCCGATTTTGATGAAACCACGATAATTATGTAGCCTTAGGTAAATAATTGAACACATGTTTCGGGATTTTTCATAATCCTCAGTTTAAACAAAGTTATGATGGTATAAGTGACCGAAAAAATTTGCATTTTTCTCCCAAAGAAAACAAAAAAGGAAAACTTCACGAGAAAAATACGAGTTTTCGGGCACTTATTTATACCATCATAACTTTGTTTAAACTGAGGATTATGGAAAATCCCGATAAATGTGTTCAATTATTTACCTAAGGCTACATAATTATCATAGTTTCAAAATAAATAGTAATAGTAATATCAAAATCGGAGCGAGACCGTTGGCGTCATCGCATTGTAAGACCATATTTAGATCAAGGATTCATTCAAATTTCTGTACAAAACTCATACATACTTGGCGCAATGGCGTGGCCAAACGTTTAAATTTGAATGCTTTTAATTTTAAAACTGCCATAACTGTTGAAATCCTGGACGGTTTTAAAACTTTTGGACTAAAACCATGACAAAGAATTAAAATTACGCGGGTAGTGAAATTTTTCAAAAAAATTCATTGTTTCAAGTTTTTGGAAAATTGACAGATTTCCTTAAACATCACGATTCGTAAAAAAAATCAAAAAATATTTCAAGAATTATATGTAACTCTGTACTTTTTTAATTTTTTTTAAATTTTGACATTTGTGATCATTTTAAGCCTAAAATTTAGAAAATCCCACGGAAACTGGAAAGGCTAAGGGGGTTTTAACTTGGTCGAAATAGGGTTTCTTTAAGTTTGGCATTTGAATGGGTCCTTCATCTAGGGTCCAATTAAATCCATACAAAACATAAGGGTACCTTCTTTACGATGGGCACTTCGGAAGTCGTACTTAAATACACACCTCTATGTAGTGCTGTTCACGAGCTGTAATCGAACCGTGCGGCCCACCTACATCAGGGTATTCCGACCCCGGGTTTTACTGGGTTGGGGTTTTGGGGTTTTACTGGGTTTTAGTGGGTCGCAAATCAGTAAAACCCAGCGGGTTTTACTATGTTAAAGGGGTTTTACTCGGGTTTTACTCGGGTTTTACAAGGTTTTATCTAAAATTCAAATAGATAAATGAATAGAATCAATTTGCAAGTACTTATTTAACTCGAATTATGCACTCTGATTAATATTCTGTGAATTTCTATACACTCAGAATAAAATGTAAGCAAATTGCTACTGGGCGGTGTCTATATATGACCTCACCGGTTTGGTAGCGATTTGCTACAGAATTGTAGTAAATTTGCTACCATCTTGTAGCATTTCCTTACCCCACTGTTACGGTTAGTCAGAATGTGATAGCAAATTTACTACAATTCTGTAGAAAATCGCTACCAAACTGGTGAGGTCATATATAGACACCGCCCAGTAGCAATTTGCTTACATTTTATTCTCAGTGTATTTATTTCAAGTTTGCATTTATGATCCAGGAATCCCAATTTACAGCTTCACTTGGAGTTTGATCATATTAATGATTTTGGGGTGTTCCTGGCATTTTTCATTAAAGTTTTATGGTAAATCTTGGAAAAATACATTAATTTAACAAATTAGTGTAACATTGCAATTTTGTACAGTTCACCCCAAACATTGAGTAAAACCCAGTAAAACAAAGTAAAACCCCGGGGTAGTTGTTTTCGAGGTAAAACCCAGGGTTTTTCCTAACCCTACCTACATACGCTGTTGACTCAACAGGGTGCTTATACTGTATCCTTGGAAAATTTTTAGACAGGGTCATGTCAGTTCAAAGTTTACATATTTTACAGATTTGAAAGTTTGGGAATATGGGCGATTTATGTATGCTGGGAGAGTTTGGTTGTCCAGAAAAATAAAATTCTACATAAAACATCATAAATGCCAATGAGTTCATTTAATTTCAAATTAAAATAATTATAAAATTCTTAATCTAACTAGGATCGGTATCACAAACGGTGCCCAAACATTATTTTAGTGTACAGGGTGGTTTAAATGTCACGCAACAATGGAAAACTTTTCAATGGGGAAAATCCTTAAATCCCCATTAGTTACAAGATTTTGGATTAAGATTTTTATAATTATTCTCAAAACTGATGGAAAACTGATGACGAAATTCTTAAAACATTGAATTTTAGAGACAAAATTTCGGTAACTAATGGAAATTTACAAATTTTTCCCATCGAAAAAATTTTCCATTGTAGGGTGACATTTTAACCACCCTGTACATTAAAATAATGTTTGGGCACCGTTTGTGATACCGATCCTAGTTAGATTAAGAATTTTATAATTATTTTAATTTGAAATTAAATGAACTCATTGGCATTTATGATGTTTTATGTAGAATTTTATTTTTGTTGACAAACAAACTCTCCCAGCATAAATCGCCCATATTCCCAAACTTTAAAATCTGTAAAATAAACTTTGAACTGAAGTGACCATGTCTAAAAATTTTCCAAGGATACAATGTCAGGACGACCCAGGGACTTAAGAAAAGAATAAGTCGGGTTATCGTAATTTTTTAATATTAGCAAAACTACCCAGCAAATTTGCGAAACAATTTCAGATACTCATAGTTCACCATTTTCTATGTGGATAAGACTAAAGGGTGAAAAACTATCGAGCCCAGCTGGCACCTCGGTTTGACCGCCTTAATAGTTCTCTGTCCCTGAAATTTTGACCACCTTGAGGTCTGAAACGAACTGAAATTATTTCAGGTAGCTGGATGGTTCCTTTTTTGGAGGACTAATTTTTTTGTTGAGTCCACAGCGCATGGAGATGTGCCGCACGGCCAGATTACAGTCAGGATTTACCACCCCGGGTTTTTGCGGGTTGGGGTCAGTGCCTAAACTGGCCCATATCCAAGGGTGGGCAAACTTTGCAGGCGCCCCTAGCTGTTCACCAATATTCGTCCTTCCAAACTACAGTCACTTAATATTATAATATAACCTATAGCTAGTTGCCCATACAAAGGTCGACGCCGATGCCACTATCGGCGGCGGCTTGAATCAACTAGGTGCATGCCTGTCCGCGTCTCTGATCAAAAACGTAGGCTACTAAGCTCACAGCGATCGGCGACTAGGTCAAGCATCAAACATGGAAGGCACTTTTGAAGTAAAAATAATAATAATAACTCCGATTTTGAGTAGTTTGCACTACGTTTAATATCTTCTATTTTTTATTGTATAAATCTGTTTCAAAACGTTAGATCAAATTTCACTTTAATATTTATTGTAAAGCTGCAAAGCTTTTGGCACACTAATTACAAAACTACTTCAACCAGAAAGTTTTGAAGATTGAAAAATTCCAAAGTTTCAAGTTTCGGGTAATTATTTAGGTGAAAAGTCATGATCAAAAAAGTATTTTAATCACTCCAAAGGTAGAGGGGCAATTAAGCTAACGCTAAAATACTTATTTTGAAAAATAACAATTTAAAATCCATCCGGTCAAAATCGGAGAAATTTTTTTTATGTATTTTGAGCGTGTCATATACACATACATAAAAGATTGTCAAACACAAGGTCTACTTTGGAACTGAAAATATTTTTAAAGGTTGAATTTTGTAATTTCAATTTGACCAAAATCTAAATGTTCCCCCGAATTAAAATCGGCGCCAAATTTTACTCTGCGGCGGCGTAAGGAGAATTTTCCCAGGAGGGTCGGCGTCTAAAATAGTACCGGCGGTGTGTATGTAGTTGACGGCGTCGATCACTGTGCACTAGAGGTGAGTCGGGCTTGGGCTTTAATCGGGCTAGCCCGAGCCCGCCCAGGCCCAACGGGCTTTGGGCGGGCTTTACTTGAGTAGGGCTTGGGCGGGCCCGGGCTTTTGAGTTGAGCCTATGAGTCGGGTCGGGCCGGAACGGGATTTTCTTGAGTCGGGCTCGGGCTTTACTCAAAAGCCCGACTAATATTTTTCGTGGAGTTAGGAGTAATATGACAGTCAAAAGTTTGACCAAAAGCGCACCATTGGTATTTATACTTGCAATGCACAATTCATTATTGTATTCTCATAGGATTTTCATTAAAAAGTAATTCCAATATCAAAAACTTTCAAAATGGAAATGATTGTTGTTATTGGTGTGAAAAAATTACTAGCAAGGTTGCAGATCTAAAGTGTGAAAGGACGGAGAATACAAAACTGTGCAAGAGGATATTACAGATTCAAAGAAGGTGAGGCTATTGGATCAAGCGAGGTCAGCATATCCTGAAATTTTGGTGTGACGCCACACAATTTTCATTGATGCAGAAAATTACTCCAAGGATATTATCAATCCCCGCATCACAAGCTAGTGATGAGAGTGTTTAAAACCACCGGTTTAACGTTGACCGCCAGTCGCACTGAACTTAGGATTAGTGACAGTAGTTTATC